TATTATAAGAAGTTAAAGAACAAATGTTAGTGATAGGAGAAACCTCTCTTCTGAAAATCTTGATTAGAAAAAAATAAAAAAACAGATTATCTTTTGTCTAGTTATGTTAGAGGGCCTCACCCTCAAGTAAAAAGTTGTTTAGTTGTTAGCCCAACTAACACTCATTGGGCTTCTGCGGATCAGAGCTGGAGTCAGCAGGCCAAGATGGGGTGGGCTACCATGATCAGGTGGGCAACACAACTTTAAGCTGGGCTAAGTAAGTGAACAACTTTTTAAGGGGAGAGTGCAATTTTCACAGATTTAACCAGTACAAAAATCTACATTTTCTATGTTTACACATGTAACAAATATGATTTGGGCTAATTCTACATGTCCAGTATTTAGACTTCTAGATTCTGCCAAGTGGTTCAGTCATTACAACTAAGTACTGAGCACACCTTTCACCTTGTGTGACAAGTCTCTGAGAGGACTGTTTTTAACACTGCAGAATATGCTGCTTCAAATTAAAAAAACAAACCCAACTTTGGATCACATGCTCTTTGTATGTAAACCTTATCCTTAAGAAGCTTTTGACTATCTTGACTATACTCCTACATCTGGATGTTTTCAGTGAGACAGAGAAAAGAGAAGGAGGAGGGGGAGGAGGGGGGAAGGGGAGGAGAAGGAAGGGAAGCAAAGGAAGGACAAAGGAAGAGAAGAAGGGAGAAATGGGATGAGTTAAGAAGGAAGTTTGACACGATGCCACTTAGAATACAATTCATTAACCGCCGACAAGTCACTAACTTCTTGTTGGTGAGCGTGCACCTATTTGTAGACACCTTCGTTGGATACTCTTACAGTCTGTCTTCCTATTTTTAATCCAGGCAGTATTAAAACTCAGATTAACAGTTACAACAACCATCTCAAATCCTCCCAACACCCTGCCCCCAACACCAGGATGTCATTTCAACCAACAGCCTTATCTCTAAGTAAGGAGAGTTCAGGGTACATATAAACCAAAAGAGATTATTTTTTTTTTTAAGAATTCAGAATTCCCTGGCATTAACGTCCTTTTATTGTAATAGTTTTCTTTCAGTACACTAAATCTTGGCCATGTTTGTGTTAGATCTACTTGCGGATTTGAGTTCTCTTGAAAATAATAAAAAAATCCATCCTCCAAGGCAACTTTGATGTGTCTGTGTTTGCACAACAGAGCAGAGCACTTGAGGAGTTTTTCCCAAACATGGAATACAATGTTTACCCATTGGACCCCATCCAGGCAAATGAGAAAACAGAATTCATCTAATTCTTTGAAAAGTACTGAGTAACTTTCAACTCTCTTCGTATGTTTATAGGAAAACCCAAGTTGTGCTATTCAGCTGGAATCGACCTGGGCTCCAGCATAAACATTGCATCGCTTATTGTATAAATACGAGGTCAATTTTCAAATGGCATGCTTATCACAAGATTCCTAAGAAAAAAATCTTCCTCTGATTTTAAATGATTTAAACCTCAAGATTCATGGACGGTTGGATGGATGCATGATCGCACTCAAACACACACACACACACACACACACACACACACACACACACACCCCAGGAACTTTTTGCAATTGTTAAAATGTATCAAGAAATAAATTTCTGGAGGTGCCTGGGTGGCTCAGTCAGTTAAGCGCCCGACTTTGGCTCAGGTCATGATCTTAGGGTTTGTGAGTTTGAGCCCCACATCAGACTCTCTGCTGTCTGTCCCCATGTTTTTCTCTGCCCTTTCCCAGCTGTATCTTTCTCAAAAATAAAGAACAACGTAAAACAAAAAATAACAAGCTTGGGCGCCACTATACACATTTGCAATGAATTTTGTGCCAATCTTCGAATGACATGTTCATTCTATTAGAAAAAAATGATCAACACTGACGTCTTGATTTTTGTGACATCACCCATTTTCAGGAAGTTTGCCTGATGGGATGAAGAGAACAAGGACTTTAAGTGGGGCCTGATTTTGAATCTGGCTGTGTGGTGGTGGGGACGTTGTTCATTTTAAAAACTCCAGACGTCTCCTCAAGTAAGGGGAGGAGCACCCACTGCCCTCAAAAGAGCCTGTCAAAATCACGTGAGATAATGTACGTGAAGCAGCAGGTGCAGGCCGTTTTGTTCTTGTTTGTGTCCCCCCCCCCCCCTCCATTTCCCTCACTGCTATGCCAACACTCTCGCTGTGGGGGAGTGATCCCAACTCAGCCCATACTTCTGTCACCAAGCATCATGCCAGGGGCTCTCTCTAAGGGCTTCCCTTTCCTGGGAGCCATCTCCCCGCACCCCAAGTCAAGCAGCAAACCAGGAGGGTCTGGCTCGGAGATGCCCATGCCCACACCACTCAACAGCCAGATGCTGAGCTTTGGACTTCACCTTGGTAAAAAACCTATCGGTAAATCCATTAGGACTAACTTTATTCCAAGCCAAACCCACAACCAGCTACAAATAGAAACTAGGATGCACATTCCACTTCTTTCCTTGTCTTTTTTTTTTTTTAAATGTTTACACATTTTTGAGGGAGAGAGAGCATGCACACAGCAGGGGAGAGACAGAGACACAGAGACAGAGAGACAGACAGAGAGAGAGGGAGGGAGGGAATCCTAAGCAGGTTCTGCACTGTCAGCACAGAGCCCAATGCGGGGCTCCATCCAGTAACCTGAGCCGAAGTTGGACACTTAACCTACTGAGCCACCCAGGTGTCCCTACTTTCTTTCCTTTTTGAAACGAACTGATGTTCTCTCCCCTTTCCAGGACACATCAGATTACGCGGTGGCTGAACTCACCCTGACGTTTACTTGCCCTCAACACCATGTCCTTGCCCCACTCCAGAATTTCTGATTCCTCTCCAGTTGTGGGGAAGTAGGTTTCTATCTCAAGTGGAGAAATCCAGGTGGCCGGGATGTCAGAAGCCTACTTTTTTCTTTTCCCCAGTAGCTTGTGGCATCCTTCTGACCTGTTCATTACAGAGTCGTCTATGGAAAAGGACTCCCTCCCAGACGCCCTCAAGGAGGCTCAGTGTGAAAGATACACAAATGAAACGAGACTGGCTGCAGGAAGAGTTTGTAAGGTTCAAGACCATAACAACAGAACAGAGGAATATCAAACTGCTTTGTCACACTGCTTTAGTTTTGTGACCCCACCCCCCGGGGTGTTGAGAAACTATCCTTAGGGTCATGGGATGGAAAGTTAGCCTAGCATCCCCAAAGGACTCATCCCCCCCAGCCCAGACTCTGGGAGAGGCACATCAATCCCTGGGCTGAAGCCTCATCTTCCCCAGGATCGAACAAGATCAATCTGTAGGAAATTCACTGTTTGACTCAAATGGGAGATTTTAGCCACAAACACCGTAAACCGGGTATCTTATCATTTGTAAGGATTAGAAGGAATTTACACATGTGGAGGAAGCATGCTATATAGAAAGTGTAGAGCTTTTATAATCAATGAACAACATGCAAATATCAGAGGTGACACTTTCTTTAAAAAAAAAAAGCCATCACTATGGAGACATCTGTGCAAATGCTCAATGACAACATGAAATTAATGGCCACTTTTATATGTATCTGCCCCTGGTGTCATCTTTGATGAGAATGCGTCTGCTACCACAAGATGTACTGAGCAGGTGGTCGTACGTGGGAGAAGAAAGCGCCTCTTCGAACGCCTTCTTTGTGATATTTCCCTTCAAATTTCAGCTACGCCAGCTCTGTTAAGCTTAATTCTAACACACGTTTCACAATCTTCTAGAAAACCTCTATTAAAGCTCAAAGCTTAAGAGCTTAATAAATAGGTCTGTAACTTACTCCTCAAAATTAAAAAAAAAAGAAAGTCTAAAATCCCTAGAACTATTTTCATAGGAGCCTTCTTTTACCATCTCTCCTTGCAAATTATATGAGAAAAGTCTAGGGAAAGTGGGATCAGGACTCTGATGTTCCGCAAATATCTCAGGTTGATTAGACTGTACTGTTGCTCCTTACATAATTTGTGATCCCCAAAGTAGGTTCTTGATTTCTTCAGTCTCATGTGTACCAAAGCTATTCTGTTGGCAAACGTCCCAATAGTCCAGTTGTTCAAAATAAGGTCACAGAACACAACCCAAGCAAGAATGGGTCTTGCTTACAGACCACCACTTCTACCGGAGAACCTCAGGACAAGCCAGAAGCATCGATGCCTGAATGTCTGATGCCAGGAGACAGTGATCCTGGGCTCTTGATCATGTAATATCCATTTCAGAAATCATGGTGCCTGCTTCCAAAAAGGTGGTGAATTTCCAGACAACTAAAGGCCCCTCCACTGAGCCAATGCAATTCTAAGACATCATCACTTTTCTTTAACACCAGTCACAGTGACAGCTCTTAGGTTATTACAGAGCATTGATCTCTGAATACATACCCTTAGGGGAATGAGAGCAAACAAAAATCTCCAGAGGTTTCGGGGAAGAGTACTACTAGAGAGCAAAGTATAGTGAATGAGAAACCCAGGGACACCAAGAACCAAGTCATCCAGCTGCCCAAATCTCCGGGCAAAGTAAATGCCAATCTGTTGAGAAGATCAGCAGTATGTTGGAATTAATATCTGAGTAGCCTACAGATCTGGAAGCAGTTAAGAGCAGAGTGTACAAGCACCTTTACTGTGGCTATTGGCTCTCCCCGTGACTAGCTGTGGAACTTTAGTCTATTTAGTCTTTGGCCTCAGTTCTCTCTTTGGTAAAACTGAAATTACGTTAGCACACACTTTATAGATTCATGTTGAGGATTCAGCAGCACAGTTAATTCATCTCAAGTGTTTTGAAAACTCTTTGGCACATTCTCATACATTTGCTAATATTATCTTATTTTGTTTATTTCTGATTATAATCCCTCAGGTGGGAGGATACCCTATTTTTTGGTTGGTAGAAACTGAGCTTAAGTTTAAAGAAACTTGCCTAAGGGTGCCTGGGTGGCTCAGTTGGTTAAGCAGACGACTTTGGCCCAGGTCCTGAGCTCGTAATTCCAGAGTTAGAGCCCTACGTCGGGCACTCTTCTAACAGCTCGGAGCCTGGAGCCTGCTCCAGATTCTGGGTCTCCTTCTCTCTCTGCCCCTCCCCTGCTCACACTCTGCCTCTCTCTCTCTCTCTCTCTCTCTCTCTCTCTCTCTCAAAAGTAAACATTAAAAATAAACTTGCCTAAGACTACTTACCTATAAATAGTGAAGCCAGAATTTAAACCCATTTTTCTCACATCACTAAATCAAGCAAACGCTGAAATATTTGAAATACGTATTCTATCTTCGTCTTATGTTCTAGATCAGCAACTGCCCAGAAGTGGTCTCCAGATTGGGATCAAGAGCATTGGCAGGGAAGTTGTTAAAGATGTCAATTTTCAGGCCCCACCCCCGTCTGTCATTCAAAATTACCATGGCGAGTGCAGCTGTGTGCTGTTACTTTCTCCTTTTATGGGGGAACAGGACAACGTTAGCAGTAGGATGAAAGAATGCCCTAGAAGAAGGAAGAGGTCACAGGGACAAAAGGCATAGCACAGGGAATACAGTGATACTGTAATAGCATTGTGCAGTGATGGCACCCACACTTGTGCGCATATAGATGTGGGATCACTAGGTTTTGCACGTGGAACTAACGTGTGTCAACTATACTTCAAAAACAAACAAAAAATTAAAGCCCCAAATATTCCAGAGAATTGTGCAACACTGGAAGATGGTGGACAATTTTACCCGAGATTTTGAACAGGAGTCCATTGACACAGTAGGACAGCTGAATTTCCCATTTTCCTAGGGGCACGGGGCTGAATGTATGACCGATTTCTCGTGGGACTTTGGGCATCTCAACAAATCTAAGCCTCAGTGGCCTCCTACGTGAAAGGAGGGGCCTGTCTTATCCCCTTACACGGTTCTATTCTACACTGCCAACTCTGAATGGACATCTCCCTGACTCTACTTTTGTAAGTGTGATGTAGAATAAAATAGAAATCTCAGAAATAAGGTAGCCTGTTGAATTGAGTTGTAAGAAAATGAAATTAGCAGGTTCTCAAATTAGATCCGAGAAGGGAAATTTGTAAGGGTTTTAGAAATGTCAGTATCCCAAGATTGAAAAACATGCAGAGTATTAAAAAAAAAAAAGTCCACGTAATATCAAATTGGTTACGGAAGTACATTACTTTTGGGGAGAGGAAAAGAAGACAGTATTCCTAACCTGCCCCCCATCAAGTTCACCACAGTAAGGAGCTTCCTTCGGAAGATCTGCTGGGAGCCGCAGTCCAGGCATGGCACAGACCTCAGGTCTTAGATTTTTCTAAATCCCATTATTAGATTCACGTGTCTCATTCACGTATCAGACCAAAGATGTGAAGACGCATCTGCATAGGCCCCTGGCAGGGGAAGGGGGTAGTGGTGGCCCAAACTACCAGATGATAAAACACGTCAAGCAATGGAAGACAAGTTTCAGTAAATTTCAGTCTAGGTATAGACGATAGACAGGAGTCACCAACCCAACCCAAGGTGAGGTTATTCTCATAGTGAAAGTCATTCGGATCCCAACAGGGGAGCATGACGTTTCAATGCAAAGTCATCCTTTCTTTTGGGACGTGAGTGTCACTTACCTAATGTGCACATGTAAGTAGCATATGTATTCAATTACACATTAGATGTATATACAAGTAGTACTGTTTCAGAGGAGAAAAGGCAAGAGCAAACTAGAGTTGAGGTTTACTCCCCAAGGATGGAAGTAAGGAATACGTAAACTACACAGCATCAAACAGCAGAAGGAAGCACTATCTTGGTAGCTCCTTGATTTACCGAAGGCCCACTCCTCACCTTGACTCCTTGGATGTGGATGCTGTAAGGCCCTCACCGGGGCCATCAGCTTTGGGCTTGGTTATCACTTAGCTTCCATTCATCAGAAATTGCCGGAGAAGATCCACACCACATGACCGGGAAAATACCTCCAAGTTCTTTATGCTGGGAGAGTCCTCTGGGAACCAAAAAGTTTTACCAAAGGCCTTCAAAACTCTCCTAACTTTCTAATTCTGTATTTTCAGAATACTGTATGAAACTTGGTGGTTAACAGCAGCAATGCCTTTTTCAACTCAGAAAAGGGCAAAGCAGAAATTTCTAATTATCTGAGAGAGATCAGATTTGTTTGTTCCCTGCCCCACCAGACATACGCCCTGTGCTATGCTCTACAGATCACCATCGGAAAGACTCCCATTCGAAAGGAGAAGAGTCTCCCGGGATGTGCTCCGCTGGGAGGGGCCATGGCGCAGGACGGCAACCAAAGATGGCCAGCCCTGTGGCTGTAGCAGAGAGAATCAGAGAATGAGGGACAAGAGGGAGAAGACCACGAATCCAGGGAAGCCCTTAGCGGCCCCAGAAAGCAGGGCTTCGAAGACCACACTCAAGACCCAGGCTTCCCCTTCGGGGGTGGTAAGCAGCTAAGGACAGACTTTGGGCAGGAAGAGGACATCACCACTCCTGCCTGACCAAAAGGTCCCTTTGTGAATGAAGAAAACATTTTCGGAGGGTGAACAGGATCCAGAGAGTACCTTAATTTCCAAATGGTCCCTGCTGTTCTCTCCTTTGTCAGCGAGGCAAGTAACAAAGAGAGGGTGATGGTGTCACCATCATAGTCAGCTCAAGGCCATGAGCAAACCCAGTCCCTACCTCCCCACCCAGTGGCCACACGGCGGCCTTCTGCTGCTCCTGTGGAAAAGGGGCTCAGAGCCGAGAGCAGCACAGGAAAAGTGTGCAGCAAAAGCCAACACGAGTTAACTCGGGCAGTTATTTGTCTCATTTTTCAGAGTCCATCTCAAAAAGCAGCCTTTTCCCATAGCCCAAGACGACGATGGTCACAGCAGCAAAACCACCGCAGGACCTATAGCAACAGTGCCCTGCTTAGCAGCCCTGCTAAACCCTGAATAGTGTCTTGTGTTTTTAATTTTTTTTTTTTTTTTTTTTTGGCTTGCCGAGGAACATCTGTGTTTACATCAGGGAATGTGAAATAGAGGCACGAAAGGAAAAATGGCTAAATATGATTAAAGAGGTAGAATCCGAGTTAGATGTGGCATTTAATCCGTGGAAAGGGAGGCCAGACCCCCTGATGGGGAGCTCCAAAATGGGTAAACACACCAGAATGAAAATAAAAACCAACTCTGACAGCGGAGAAAAATCTTCCCATTTCAGCGCATTTATATATGCCCGGTGTGTCCCATTTCTGGCCCTCACAGCTTACTGCTGGTTTCGAAACATGAACAGGATGAGAGGCATATGGGCGTGAGCAGACACGGAAGACCATTCTTTAACCTGAGCTGTTGCTGTTCTGAATATCACAATTCCTTTAACTCCTCAATATAAAATATAAGGTGTGTATGGGAGAAAAATGGAGATGGCCTTTTTTTGTTTTTGTTTTTTTTTTTAGCAAGCACATTAGAGAAAAACACCCCTTGTCCCTGTACACACAGGTTGCTACAGGCAAATTTCAAAGCATTGAGTCCACATTTTTATTTTATTATGGTGAGACTTGCTACACAGGAAACCCTAAAGGAAAAAGTTGATTGACTTGACTACATAAAGCTTAAAAAAAATTTACATGCTGTACAAGAGTGGTATGCATGTTAAAAAAAAAAATCAGTAATAGGGAAATGAACGATTCTTCAGTCAGGATAGAAATGTTAATTTTGGTCATCTTAACTTTTTGACACTATCATTTCCTTTGGGGAGGGTATACACACTTCTTAACAGCCCTGCAGAATAAGTGGTAGCAAAGAGGGATAACCTGGGAACATGGAGGAGAAAACAGTATTACTCGTTTAGCTTCATCAGTGTACAACCTGGGCAACAGTATAGAGGCCAAGCTTAGAAGATGCCTATGCTTGGTTTAATACTATGCTGTCAGGGTTTTGACATTTTTATTTTCCAAAGAGAGGGAGAGAGACAGAGAGACAGAGCATGAGAGGGGGAGGGGCAGAGAGAGAGGGAGACAGAAGCTGAAGCAGGCTTCAGGCTCTGAGCTGTCAGCACAGAGCCTGATGCGGGGCTTGAACCCACGAACCGTGAGATGATGATCTGATCCAAAGCTGGACCTTAAACGACTGAGCCACACAGACATTTTTTTAAAAGGAGCTCCCAATTTTCATTGGTCTCTGGGCCCTTCAAATTATGTACTGATCCTGCCCTTAAAGTCATACTAACTACCTCTCCACAAATCAGTAAGTTTTGTGCCAAGACGAGCACCAAGATATTTATGACAAGTTTATAGTCTCAAAGTAGAAGTTCAATAGTCAGGTTATAATAAAACAAAGTAGAGGAGGAGACACATGATAGAGACAAAGCTCAAAAAAGGAAAATATTACTTCTTGGTGGAAGGAGGTTAGTACCTTTGCAAGAGACAGGTTTTAGTTGTATCTTAAAAGATTTTGACACTGATGGGAGGTGGGGGAAAAAAAACAAAACAAAGCAACACAAAACAACAATGATGACCACAGAGGCAGTGAGCTGTGTCAGGGTCCAAGGACTGCCTGGGCACAGTGAATTGTCCCGTTTGCCTGGGGCAAGAAGAAAGTAGGCAGGAGGGGCGCCTGGGTGGCGCAGTCGGTTAAGCGTCCGACTTCAGCCAGGTCACGATCTCGCGGTCTGTGAGTTCGAGCCCCGCGTCAGGCTCTGGGCTGATGGCTCGGAGCCTGGAGCCTGTTTCCCATTCTGTGTCTCCCTCTCTCTCTGCCCCTCCCCCGTTCATGCTCTGTCTCCTCTGTCCCAAAAATAAATAAAAAACGTTGAAAAAAAAATTAAAAAAAAAAAAAAAAAAAAAAAAAAGAAAGTAGGCAGGAAAGCAGGTGGTGGTTGGCTGTGTGAGGGCCTTGAACTTGCAGCTAATGAGGCCATGCATAATTCAAGAGCAATTGCGAGCCACTGAAGGGTCAGAGAGAACCAGTTAACCACAGTCATAATTAAGGAAATTAAAGCTGGCCCCAGGCATTGATGGTCCCTTGGTCACCTCTCTGGACTCCCATCCCAGCACTGTCTTCACAAATGGTGAGGACTTGACTCTTTAGACAGTAGATGGATGGAAAGTAAACGTCTGCACCCACCTCTAACTCAACCAGTTAAACTGCACCGGCACTAAGCTGGCCAACATGATACATTCCCACCCTCTGGAGAACCAACTTTACTTATTGAAGGTTTGAATCAGCAGAGCCGGTAACACAAATTGAGGTGAATACAAAAGATATAAGAGTATATGCAGATTCAACTAAAAACAAAAATCCGAACAAACAAAAAACCCTAGCAATAACACAATGAGACTTCATGCCTGAACCAGCCCCTCTTAGAAAAATTTATGTGGGTCATGAGCACTGACACCCCGTTTCCTTGAGAGAATGGAATTATGGAAATCTATGTCGTAAGTGCCCAATGCTTAGGTACCTGAGAGCTTAGGTAGGCTCTGTCCTACAGGTAAGAATTTTATTAATTACCAATCGGGATCTTTCTCTAATACGGTTCCATCAGAAGAAAACATTAAATTGCTCTTTAAGTAAAAGCTTAAAAATGATAATTCATTCTGTCTCCATCTTTCTCTCTTGGTCTCTGTATTCTTTCTATTCTCTTTCTCACACACATACCAGTATAGACACACGCATATGTATCAACAAACACGCAAATATAGATACACACACACACACAGCGTCTGAATAATTTCCTTGCACACTGTACTAAATTCCAAACAAAAGTACATTTCCCCGTCTAAATGTTTCACCCAATCATGTTGAAGAAAAATCCCAACACCCTGATAATTATATTTTAAAATTACCACTTGACATCAAATTAGAGTTTTATTGTTCCTTTAGCAAGAACGTAAAGAACAAATTATGTGGAAATCAAATATGCATAAACAATGAATCAGAAAATAAATGAACTACATAAAATACTCAAGTAAGGAATATTAAGATTCCATTGTAAGAAAATTCCACAGGTATCTGTTATGATGTATCACTGACCCAAAATGCGATTTCGATTTTCTACCTCCCCTTAAACCATTTCTTTCACAAAAACAAAAATAAGCCGTGAAAAAACCAGCTTGATATTCTAGCTCTAAGAAATTACGATTGTAACAGAAAATACGCACCTCTTTAGCAAACGTAATCTGTACGTTATTACTTAAGGATGGTTCTGTTTTCAACGAAAAAATACAAAATAGCGACTTACTGGAAAAAAGTCAGAGTTGTCAATATTCTTTTTAAGGATGAAATAATGTATTTTCTTTAAAATAAGCTTAGAGACAAAGAACTGCATTTCAGTGAACATCGGTGTATTCTTAAGAAATGAAAAGCTGTTTTTTATCCCAGTTCCCATGCTATACTCAATCATGAAAATATACAATATCAAAAGAAAAAAAACTTTTGATATTTGAGAACTACAACAGAAAATGAACTTAAGTGAGGAAATTAAACTTGGGATTAAAGGATAATGAGCTTTTGGAAGTTTTCCATCTTTGTCACCTGACCTTTGACATGGACTCTTACACAAGAGACGATGCAGTCCGGAGAGGTACCATCAACATTTTAATCGATAAATAGTTAGGGATGAACTCAATACCCCTTTTTTGTTCAAGCAAATTCTCCTTTGTTTCTCTGACCCACACTCCCTGACATAATGTCCCAAGTTCTGACTTCGTCACTTAGCATGGAAACTGGTACCAGAACCAGAAAGAAGAAGCCAGTCCAAAGTCTCATGCTTCTACAAATTTGTAGGCTATCAAGACTGAAATGAAAAGAAAAGGCTTCCCTGAGCTGCCTGTCCAGGAAGAGGGTTGAAAAGACCATAAACGCCCTCAGCAGGAGAAAATAAAGCATCCTACCTTTTTAAAAATTCCATATACTCGGTGTGTTTGATGAGTCCTGTCCTCATCATGATTGTTTGAAAACATTGTCGATCGATGGCCCAGAGTTTCACATTCACAAGAGCTGGAGAAAAGAAAAAGAAAACAGGAAAAAAAAATTAGGCAATTTCAACTGTGAACCCCATCATGCAGAAGGGATATGAGTGATTCAGGAGAAGTATGGAAATAATTGACCTTCATTTACAGCTGGTACCCATCATGCTATCCCATTTTGTTAAGAAAGTGAATGTTCCTACTAGCATAAGGTAGTTCATAATTGTCCATCTAGTATTATTGTCTAAGAGGAAGATTCTGGTTCTCTTCTGCCCTTAAGGGAGGAGAATGCCTAAGTCCACAGTGAAAAACTTTAGTGCTTTCCAGACTATCTATGAAGGACATCACATGGAAGCAAAGCAAAATTCACAATTAATCACAACACGCCCTGGTAATTACCCAGAATGGTGTTAATGACTCAAATGATCATGTTTTACTTGTAAAAACTAGAAATGAAAACTCCATTTTCAGGTTTAGGGCTGAATTTAATAGGATAGAAATAATGACTTCACCATGATTTCCACATGAAGCTCATATTTTACAAATTATAACCTGTGCCGGACGCTGTCCTGTGAAGTTCTCTGAGATCTGTTTGTTGAATTTTAATGTCTAGTCTTACCTACGACTGCCTTTGACAATGAATAATAGTGTTCAAACTGAGTATCACGGAATTACACCATTTGAGCTACTGAGCACACGACTAAGAGACAAGTTTTGGAAAAAGGCAGATGCTATAGAGTAACAGAACCACCCAGTAGGATAAACTTTGGTTTTAAAAGAATATACTAAAAATCTCGGTAACGATCTGTGCAATGGGCATGCAAGACACTTATGCTCTCCATTTTTATGTCTGTTTGCAAGTTTTCCTAGTGGCAAATACTTTCTGTTAGCATACAAATAGAGAAAGCCAATTCATAGGTCATACTGGTGGGGAGTGGGGTACCTAAGGGCTGTGCGGGACAAGTGAGTGGAGACAGTTTATAGTTTAAGGAGCCAAACACACAAAGACTGAAGAACACAATTCTCTCTTCTTCCCAGTTCTCAGAGGCAGCCCAGTGTGGAATGAGATCTGGGGGGAGGGGTCAGGGGCAAATGCTGAGTATGAGGCCATGGGTGTGCCTTGCAGGGAGGGACTGGGAGTAACACACAAAGCAAACGGGGAAAATATGAGAAAGGAGAATGCTGTGTTCTAATGTAAACCCTTATCTTCGAATTTTACCTAATTTTTCCTCGCAAAACTGTTTGAAGCTAAGGAACTAGAACATGACTTCTCTCTGGGCCAGCTCTTCATTGAAAAAAGAAAAAGGATGCTTGGTTAACTAGAAAAGGAACAAAGCAGCAAGGACCGGTATGCGCATGACTCCGCTCCAAGTATCTTTTAAAAATGAGCCATCAGCAAAAACAAAGATCCTCACACAGGTGCTCTCCCAGCCACATTCAAGTTCCTCTGCCGAATCCGAATCCGGGCTCCTTTCCAGAACACCTGTTTGCTTGAGACAAACCCAAAGACTGGATGATGCAACCATAAAGGACTGCCAATTCAGGAAAAGATTCACAAGAAGGAGCATCTTTATATAACTGACAGAAGCTGAGCTAGGAGGGAGACAGAGGAGGTGACATCCTGTGCGGGGAGAAGAGCCTGGCGGGAGAGGGGTGGGGGGGGGGTTGGGGCGGGGGGAGTCCAGGCAAGGATCAGACAGACAGGAATGGCTGAGATTCTGCAGGCTTCTCTGATCTTTGAGAGCAGGCTGCTTGGGGCCCTGGAAGTCAGGCATAGGAAGCGGGGATTAATGTGATGAACAAAACAAAGCTATTAGAGATCTTAAAGACAAAACACAGCCAAGAACCTGAATTTCATTGAAAAACTTTTTAATATGAAATTTATTGTCAAATTGGTTTCCATACAACACCCAGTGCTCATCCCAACAGGTGCCCTCCTCAATGCCCATCACCCCCCCCTCCC